TACTGAACCAGACTGAGAGACCATTTAAAGGCTCAGGAACCCTTTGCAGGTGTTATGGCTTAATTAGCTGATTAGAGTGGGACACTTTGAGCCTAGAATATTGCACCTTTTCACAATATTCTAATTTTCTGAGATTGTGGATTTGGGGGTTTCATGAGCTGTAAGCCATAATCATAACAATTATGACAAATCACGGCTTGAACTATCTTGCTTTGCATGTAATGAGTCTATCTCATATATTAGTTTCACCTTTTAAGTTGCATTAGTGAAATAAATGAACTTTTGCACGATATTCTAATTATTCAAGTTTCACCATGTATGTTCGCTCACCTCCCGATCTACTGAGCCGACCTGTGACAGTCTCATTGTCACAGGTCGGCTAGAACTATGAGGTGAGTGAAAAGCACTCACCTCATAGTTCTCCTTTTACTTCAGTGCACCTCTATTTCGTACTAAAAATAAATGTGCAGTTGCAAAGTTTTTTAGACATTGATTAATTCCTATGACTCCCCCAGGCCAGAGGCTTGACACTGTTCACTAAACCAGTGACCGCAAGTGCTCATTAGCGCCTTCAGAACAGCAGCAAGAAATGTCTGTTGTACTCCTGGCAACCACGCAGGATATGGAAAGTCTATATGTGCGTTACTAAAAATAATCATGTACCTTGTAAGATAGTACAAAAAAAACACCCATTAATGCATTATAAGTAATAAACACTCAGGTAAGCCCACACAAGCTATAGACCTCTATGTGCTGGTACTTTATACCTGCTAGCAGCTCTTATTTAACCAGTTGACATCCGCGGTGTTAAACCCCCTTCCCATCCAGGCCATTTTTCAGTATTCAGCGCTGCGGTACTTTAACTGACATTTATTCCGTCATGCAGCGCTGTACTGAAATGAATTTTATACCCTTTTTTGGGGACAGATAGAGCTTTCTTTTGGTGGTATTTATTCACCACTGGGGGTTTTATTTTTTTACTATATTAAGGAAAAATTACCGAAATTTAAAAAAAAAAAAACAGTTTCCCCTATATTAAATGATAAAACATTTATTATTACCCAATTTTTTGGTAAAATATAAAAGATGGATCAGGGGGGAAACCGGAAGCGCCGACCGGGCGCGGGGGGGGGTTGCCGCGAACGAGCACATATAGGCGATCGGCGGGCTATGGACCCGCTGATCGCCTATATGTGTGACACCCGGTACCGGGTGTGTGCATTGTCGGGTCTTTTCTGCCCGTGCGTGCCCGCTAGGGGGCACGCGCGAGCAGAAAAAAATTGCCGTCTGGAGACGGCAACCCGCAGATGCAGCAGTGCCGTCCGTCCGTTTTTCTACTACGGGCGGACGGCAAGAGGTTAAGTGGAAAAGTTACTTAGTTGCTGAGCTCCAGCTAAACAGCTAAAGAGGCTTATGTGTTAATACATATAACGTTGCTGTTTTACCTGCCAAAGGATTTGTATTGCTGTCCATCGAGTTCTGATTTTACCCAGCTCTGTCACACAGCACAGCCCTGTCTGGCAGGGTAGCCTGGTAGTTCCTGCCAATAGTAGTGCAAGGTGCCTTGTGTGAAAAAGTAATCTATAGCAGCCCAACACTACTTAGCTGATATAACATAACAACTGAGCATTGTTGGGCTGCTATAGATCAGTGGTTCTCAACCTGTGTAACCTCAGGACCCACATTTGTCCTCGGTCATTAAGTCACGACCTAAGTTGCACTGCAATGGAATGCACAGCAGTGTGGGCCGCTGTGCTGTGATGGAGTTCCATCCATGTGTGCATTGCTTGTACAGCTCCCATGCGCGCCAGTAGAGGTGCCGGAAGCCAGAATGAGATTTCACTCCAGTCCAGGCACCTCTACAGGACATGTGGGAGCTGTAAGCAATGCATGTATGGATGGAGCTCCCTCTCTGCCATACCCCCAGCCCACCCCAAGCTGACACTCGGCACCGGGCAGCATATTTTGAATGGTTGCTCGGTGTGAGAAAGGACAGTGCTGCGCTAGGGGGAGGCCGAGGAACCTCTCACCTAGAAAAGTGAAAGGCACACGGCGACCCACGGAACACGGGGTCGTGACCCAGTTTTGGGTCACGAGCCACCTGTTGAGAACCAAGGCTATAGATGAGGGTCACACGCAAGGAGGCACCTTCCTTCACACCAACACCACCTCACAGCTTTTGCTTCCCTCTCTTCTCAGCCGTAACAACACACCCTCACGCAGTGTAAGTGCCACATCCTCCGCTGACATCAGCGGCAGTCATCATCTTGGCGTAGCAGCAGGCAGCGTCTGTGTTCTCCTCAAAGGGAGCTGGTGGAGAGAGAGCGAGCCGGGGGAGAGCGCATCCTAATGAGAAGAGAGTAGGCCGCAAGATAGCACTCCCCTGTCCATCTAACATGTCCCTCTGCTCCTGGGCGGTTACCGGGGCCAGGCACCGAGGAGGGGGTGCGGACCCTCTTCTTTCCTTCTGGGCCCCTCCATGCGGCAGAACGCCAGGGCCCGTTTGCACATGCAACCGCTGTGACCAGTGCACATGAGATAATCCAGTGCGGTGTGCTAAGTTTGTCGCATGTGCTGGTGCGTGTTTTTACGTGCGCTGAACTGCGTTGTGCTATGCTGCAATGCTTTTTTCCCTTTTTATTCCACCAATGTTTTTTTGTTTCTATAGAAAAGTTTTTATTTTTTGTGCGCTGCATTGGTGCCCGCTTGTGCATGTTGTGTTGCATGAACGTGGCACTAAAACAAAGAAGAGCATGCTTTTTTTTTTTTTAGTGTGGATGAACACTGTGCAACAACGCGCTGGTGTGAATTAGCCTCAGTGATTTTCATGTATTCCCAACGCATCTGGTGTGAATGGACACTAAATGTGTTTTACTGGAGGGAAAAATAGGGCAGGCACTTCTATATTAATAAACAAATGAGCTTTGCTGAAGACAAGCTCAGATATGTGCAGCCCATTAGCACCAACCGCCAAATGTTTTCCCCTGCAGACAGAACTACAACAACGTGTTTCAATGAAACGCAGTGCGCGTGCGCTACCTTCTCTCTTTTTCTGACCCCTGTGAGACACCGTACGCCTTTAGTTGCCATGGCAGCGAACGCCTCCGCCTGGTTACGGCCTGCTCTTTGCTGTGTATTTTGAAGCGGAATACGGCGGCGGCATCACCATGTCTTACCGGGACCTGAGGAGTAAGAGCTGTGTTCTTATGTCTGTTCCCCTGTACCATACCTTAGACATCCCTCCTATGTACACTGCACGTACAGGACATTCAGCTGCTATTAGACCTGTAAACACATACGAAGGTGTAAACACCTCATAGGTGTCCTGTGCTTCATAGAGGGACACGGTCACCCTCTGTCCCTGGTTTTAGGGGAGACACTTGGAGGGGCCCTGTGTCTTTATACTAGAGCACAATCAGGCTGCAGTAACAAACTAAAAGATTGTTTTCGTGGTGACCTCAGTGGCTTTGTATTGACTTTTGTGATTAAAGGTCACCATAATATAATATATAATAAATATTTTATATATATTATATATATGCGTGTGTGTAATTTATTGCAGCTAACTGGTCCTTAAATGTGGTGACTGCATTTGTTCTCTTTTCTAAAAAAAAATGTAAAAAAATACACCTGGTAATCCTTCCAGTAACACACTTCCTGTTCTAGGGTGACAACACTGACTATGCAGGAGCAGTCTTATCACTCACTAGGACAGAAAGCGGGTGTTAGGATTACAACGCACCTCTGTCTTCTCCATAACATAGGGGGCAGGTGTTCTGTAGTACACAGAGAGAACTGGGCTGGGCTCATAAGGCTCCTTGAGATAACACTGCAAAGTGTTTAGGACACAGGGTAGCAAAATGAATAGGTATTTTTTAGGGAAGCACCAAAACCATTTTTTCCAGACCTCGTACGAGTACCGATACTTTTCTTTAAGTGCTCGACGATACCAATTACAGATACCTTTTTTTTTGTGTGTCGTGACAGTTTTTCTGAAACAATACAGACTAATGATTTTAGGACAGTGGTGGAGCATCAGGGCCCGGTCACAGATGCGACCCTGGTAGTTCTGCCACTGACTCCAAGCTGTAGAGGGACCACAAATCCCAGCAATACATTATACAGCAATGCAGAATGGCACTGGCTATAAAGGACTACAGATCCCAGCAATACATTGAAGAGAATTTATCAAATCTGGGGCAGACAAAATCTGGAGCAGTCATGAATGGCAACCAATCAGCTTCCACCTTTCATTTTTAAAGCTTAACTGAACAAACTGGAGAGAGAAGCTGATTGGTTGCCCTGGCCAACTGCCCCAGATTTTGTCTGCTCAAGTTTTGATAAATCCCCACCACTATTTCTATAGGTTTAATTTGATTGACTTGTGTCTTTTTTTTCAGCCTGACTATGTAACAGCAATGCAGAATAATATGTTGCTACATACTCTGTGCTGCCCCGGTGGGCCAGCCTGATGTCTCGAGCGGAGGGTCTCAGGAGGGATGCAGGGGGTCTCAGGAGGGGTGTGGATAGTCTCAGCAGGGGAAGATGTGGGGGCAGCGAAAGCGCTGTAAATAGTCACCGTGTGGTTCCTTAGTAGGCGCAGGATCTAAGGCAGCTTCTTCAGTTTGAAAATTGAAAGCACTGGTATAAATTTTTAGCAAATTTTTAGCCTCGGGGCATTTTCCTGAGTACTCCTGAAAATGCTCAGTATCAGTACTCTAATCGATACTGGTATCGGTCCATCCCAAGTATTTTTTGCACTTGTTGAAGAGATATCACAAAATACTTGGAATGTTTTTTTTATATTTAACAGAACACAGGGGAGCAAATAGAAGAAGTTAATTTACTCAAGTTTGCTTTGTGTTGGAGTCTGTTGCATTTTGGCAGCTGCGCACCGTGTGCTCTTCATCTATTAGAGCCACTCATTGTCCCTATTCAAGTAATTAAAGAACAGTGGCACGCCATAAGGCCTTGCTGATGTTAGTAGTCTAACATTGCTATTTTTATCTTCACATTTAACGCATGGCGATGCACAAGAACAAGACATTCTTATTAGTAAACCATGATGTGCTGGCTCTTGTATCCAGTGTTATCTATTGCTTAGCTTGAACTTTTTCTTTTAGATTTTACCGAAATGATGAGGGCCCTGGGATACCCTCGTCTCATCTCCATGGAGAATTTCCGTAGCCCCAACTTTCCATTGGTGGCAGAAGTTCTCATTTGGCTAGTTAAAAGGTATGTGACTGTACATGTTGTCTCTATCTCCCATTATCACGTGCTAGATGGATAGTTTTTGGTGTTGTATGCATATCAGAACTTTGCTATAATCTCCTGGAATATTTAGGAACTTCAGGAACCAATTAAAAGAAGGGCAATCCTTTTTTTTTTTAAATTTCAAAATATCTTTATTGAAAAAGGAATTACAATGTAGCATGAGTCTCCGAAACATACGAAGATACGTCAATGAAAAATAAACACGTATCGATTAGAGTACAAGAACATAACATAGTCTTCCAACTGACATTACGGATCTAGCGAAATGAGGAATCACGATGCCAAGAAATGAGGTAAGAAACAGAGCAAAAAGGAAAGAAAAAAGTACATCCCATTCCAGGTCCATGTGTAAAAATATATAAAGAGAGAACAGTAAAAATGGCAATAAAATGCTATCATGGGAAATACTGGCAATATGAAAGAAGAAAGGAGGGGAAGAAAGAAGAGAAAGCTGGAGGAAAAGTGAACAAAAAGAAATGCGCGTGGCTCCCGTGGCAACCAGACCCGCCGTCCAAAAAACAACACGCAGGTCAGTTCCCGTGGAGCGAGTCAGAAACTTATCCGGGGGAACAGACAGACATTGGAGGCAAGCATCTGAATGTTGAAGGGCCAGCCAGGGACTCAAGGCGGATCTGAATTGCTCTTCAGTATTTTTCAGAGTGGAAGTCAGGTCTTCCATAGGGTATATTCCATTAACTTTCTCAATCCACATACGTAAGGACGGGCAGTTGGTTCGTTTCCATAGCAGCGGGATGCAGATACGTGCAGCATTTAGTCAGGGAGAACTTATGTTTGAGAATAGAGCTGTTTGCGAGGTGAAGCAAACAAGCTGCTGAATTTCCCTTCAAATCTGCCATGGTCAATTGCTCGATGACCTCCAAGACCGCGGATGCACTTTCGCACAGTTCCAAAAGATATGGAACATCTTGCTAGGGACCCACTGGCATCGCCAACAGAGGGGTGAAACCTGAGGGAACATGGAATGCAACAAGGTCAGTACTTTGTACCATCGAGAGACAATTTTGTATCCTAGTTCCTGGACTTTACAAGCGATTTGTGCACAAAGTATTATAAACGATCTTTTTGAGCTTGAGAGATTTGAATGCCGAGGTCCCCCTCCCATTTGGCCACGAGCTGAGCTCTTAAGGCAGAGGAATATCTTAATAGAGAAGCATAAATCTATGAGACTACGTGTCGAATTGGGTCCCCCTTGTGACAGAGGGTCTCGAAAGATGTCAAGGGTTGAGACAGATGTTAAGAGTCAGGAATCAACTGTAGAAAGTTGGATTGCGCTCCAGGTATCCAGCGGAGGATCTACAACTTGCCGGATATCCTCAGTTGAAAGCGTATGGGCGGCACAGTCCGGCCCCAACATGCCCGGTGGAAAGTCTGGATTCCTCAAGAACCGGTGTCATGGGAGAAGGAAACGGAGACAGAGGGGTGCTTTTTAACCAAAAAAGGGTTCTTGCCTGCACGACCGTTGGAGCAATAGTAGGGTGGACCTGGACAGCTGGTGGCAGAGGGGCAGATAACCATGGTAAACCTGCAAGTGGTGACGGGGAGTCCTCCATGGAAACCCAGCATAAATCTAGAAGGCCAATACCCCCAGAGAAACTACACTGTATCGCAAGGGACAATCTTTTATGTTTTAAGTATTCTAAATGTTCTAAGTGTAATCCATCATTGCTCTGCCTGCATGAGACTCACCTGACCAAGAAAACCTCACATTTACTACGCCTATTACAATATAAATGTACTTACAATTATTTCTATTCCTCTGATCAAGGTGAGTTGGTATTCTTGTACACAAAGACATCCCGTTCTCCTGCAGACAGGGTACATCTAATGACAAGGAAATTTTTATCTATCTTTATGCTACTGTTGGCTATGATGCATTGAACATTTCTAACATATATTCTCTTCCTTACATCCTTGATGGTTTTTAACTGTTTCATACAATTTCGGAATGGAAACCATGATCTTCCGACACTACTGATTGGGGATTTAAATAATATAATGAACCCCAGTTTGTGATTTAAGAAGGATTTTATTACTAATTTGGGTAATTTACCCCCTCCCATAAGCAGATCGAGATTAAACCTATTTTGGCTCATCCTGGTAAATGGAACGCTGTGACCTATTGTGGTAGACATGTGAGCCCTCTAGTCATAGATTATTTTAGCCACAATAATTGGATCGCTTTGTAAGTAACAAATGACAACATTGAAGTCAGGTTGCCATTCTTTATTTCAAATTTTAGAGGCATTGACAGATAGCTTTGTAAAGTATAAACATTCCATGTATAGCTCGACAAGAATCCTCAATTCATTGATACCGTACGCCATGAATCTTCATGCTGTTTATATGGTGAATGCAGTATGATTTTGTTCTTGTCTTCTGTCTGTTTTTTTTTTCTTTTTTGTATGGTTTTTATGTGTCAAATAAAAGGAAACCTCTTTAATAGTCTCACACTGGAAGAAATACACAAAGCTCACCAAGATTGAAGGAAGAATACACATGACTCTTGTAAGACAATATTTGCATTTCCCGGACTTGAGCTTTAAGCATAGGACAGACCTAGTCTTCCAATTATTCTAGATGTGTGGTCAAGAAAATCAGCTAGTTTGCATTTTATCAACCCTCTTGAATAAAGAAAATTAGGTATGCACCGATACCGGGAAGCAGGTGACGAGGAAGCATGGAGCCGGCTTTCTGGCCAATCAAGAAGCCAGGGGGCGGGTATTGACTTGCTGTCCGGCTTCATGATTGGCCAGCTTCCCGGCCAATCAGAAAAAAGGGGTGGAGGATAATGACTCGCCGCCCGGCTTCTTGTTTGGGCGGGGCTTCCAAGTGACGAGGGAGCATGGAGACGACTTCCTGGCCATTCGGGAAGCCGGACAGCGTTTCGTGACTTGCCGCCTACTGGTATCGGTGCATCCCTAAAGAAAATGACATACAATTATGAATAAGTTATTATGGAGAGTGGATAAAAGCTATCTGCACTCTCCCATATTTTGCAGTAGTATTCCAGACCACCAGCTACATTTTACAGCCCAGTAATAAAATGTAGGCTGCTCTATAGAGCCTGTGGTGTCCCATGGATTTTCTCTCCTTTTATGCAGGGACCTCCATGAATAGGGGAAAGGCTCGTCGTGTGACATCTGGCATGTTTCTTTCTGGCTTTTTTTCCCCCTTTTATTCATTTTACTTACGCAGTGCACATTTTATAAATGTGCTATTACATTTTTTGGTGGTTTTTGTGCTGCTCTTTGTCAAATTTTTTGCCAACCTAATAGCGATTTATAACCTCCTTATCACATCATTGGAATCCGTCTGCTAACAAAATCTCTGGAGTTTAAAGAGAGACATATCTTCCTCTTATCTGTTTTAAAGTGGATGCATCATCTTAGGAAGACATGCATGTGGCTAGTTTACTACACTAATTGACAAAGTTTGCACTTAGTTCATCATTACAAACCCATCAGCCTCTTTAAAAAAAATATTTAGCTTTCATTGGAGATGTGTGTTTGAAGCAGATAGGAATCTAAAATAATGTGTGCTTATCTGATATCAATATGTGCAGCAAATTGGGGGCAGGTAAACAAAGTCGGAGATGCACATTGGTTTAATGCAGCTCTGCCTGCACCGAAGAGATGACAGCTGTGAGCTCATTGTTTGCCATGGGCCAGGAACTGTCATTGCTCTTGGGTTTATAAATGAGCCTTATGTTTTTACTGTTTTCTCAGGCCAGACATTCCATCTGTGTTCTTTCCTCACTAGGTACGAGCCGCACACAGTCATCCCTGTGGATGTGGATACTGAACAAGACAGAGTCTTCTTCATTAAGGCCGTAGCCCAGTTTATGGTAAGAGTGAGCATCGTGTTCTTCATATCTTTCTGCCTTTTCTCTGGCCATAAAATAAATTGCTCAGTGGAGGTTGTAGTCACAAGTTCACCCTGCCATACATGAATATTTAGCAATTACTATGATTCTAAGCTAACAGCCTGCCTGCTGAATATTTCTGATTGGTATAATGGCATACATCATCTTTATCAGACTGCCACACTGCTTGAATCCTAGGGCATGAATGTGATCATGTGCCAGTACAGGGCAATAAAGCTAGCTTACAGCCTCTCACACACACACTGGAACATGAGAGGAAGGCTGTAGATCATATTATCTGGTGAAAGCCTGTAGTGTTAAATTTAAAGGACAACCGTACCTTACCTCCCCATGCTAACAATACCCCCCTGCTACTTACCTTAGAACAGCTGATGAACTGTCCAGCAGCCACAACCTATGTTGGGTATCAGCCTGTGCCTCCTCTTACTGGGTTTGGAAGACAGGCTTTTCATTAGGTTCTATAGAGAAAAGTCACTGGTGTACACTTCATAGTATACCTGTAATATTACTGTATAAACTAACATTATTGATAAAGTTGAGGTCGAGACTTTTCTATAAAATGAAATCAAGCATTACCTCTAAGTCTCACCCACTGTCATTCAGCTGACAGATACCAAAGCCTGTGCTAGTTGTTGAGGTTCTGGCATTTGACTGTTGAATGGCAGTATTGGGGTTTGATGCCAATCCATGAAGAAGTAGAAGCTCCGTGGACAACAAGGGCCTAGGATTCAGGGTCCTCCTCATGCTAAAAATGACTGAATTGAAGACTTACAAGGTTATTCACAAAAGGGTGAAGAGTTTGGAGAAGGCAGGAGAAGTGGACAATCTAGGACAACAGAGCTGATTTGGAAAAAATCTCCAATTCAGCTCACTTTCCAGTTCAGCTATGTTGTCCTAAAATGTTCACTTCTCCTGCCTGCTCCAAACTCTTCACCCTTTTGTGAATAACCCTGTTAGTACTTTGTCTTCACTTTTCCTGCAATGTTAGTTTGCTCATGGCTTTACAAAACTGAGGGAGACAATACAGTTAACAATACAATTTCAGTACAGGAAGGTAGAAGGGTCCTGCTCGTGAGAGCTTACAATCTAGAAGAAGGGGCAAGTGATACAAAAGGTAATACCCGTTTGGGATGGTTTAATGGAAGAAGTGAAATGATGCTTATATGGAGGTGGGATAGGCCTCCCTGAGGAGATGAGTTTTCAAGGATCGCCTAAAGGTGGACAGAGTAGGAGATAAGCGGACAGATAATGATTAGTATTGAGATATTTACAGCCGAGTGATACACAAATAAGATATATTTTTGTTGATAGTTCAGGAACTTGAATTCATTTTTAAGATTTAACTTCACATAGCATACTTGCACATTATGACACACCTACCTTACATGCCTGCTCTCCTCCAGCGCTGCACTATCTAGGCTGTCAGTCGCTGCTCCAGCCACAACTGCCACTACTATAATCTCCGCTGCTTCTTCCTATTCCCTCATCATTCATTTCAATCATTGGGCTGCCTCTGAAGACTTAACTCCTTTGCATGCTCCAATTCTGGCATATTACAGATGCTTGGAAATACCTGGTTCGTGCTTCATACAGTGTACACAATAAATAAAAAACTGCTAGTGGTGAGAAGCACAGTTTTTTTGGCAGAAGAGACTTTGCATGTCTCTTCTGCCCCAAAATTTGACCTTCTAGCAGTTTTTTCTCTTTAAAGTAGACATTGCACCTCAGTGGTAAGGTCCGCCTTTTCAAGGTGCCCCCTCCCCTCCCTAAAATGATGCACAAAAGTATCTGTGGAGGGGAATAATAGATATTATACTCGCCATTCCCTGACTTCCATAGTGCAAGGGGTGCCACCAAGAACCCTGGGAATGCTGAGTGGCTTAAAGTCCACTAGAAGACTCTGTGAGGGATCGCCTTCTCGTGAGATTTGACCTACTGATTATTCTCTGAGAGCTGGACCGAGTCAGGATGACGTCACCCTCGTCTATATAACTTTTATGCCCCCCTACAGGTACTTTTTGCAGCGTTTTATGAAAGGGGAGCAACTTGAATAAGCTGACCTTGCCACTGAGGCAGAAGGTCCAGTATAACAGATGCAGTCATTTTAGGAGAAAGAGAATGCCTTTTTAGTGCTTAAGGTGCTCATTCATTTGAAGTTAGACTTTATACAGGTTACATTATTTTATCTCTGTATTAAGGTTATTTCATCTCTGAACAACTTCTTTTTTTTCACCATGACCCACTCTGTGTAATCCTACAAAGTCATTCACCTGGTGTCATGTCTGGCTTTCTTTTTAATTTTTTTTTAAAAGCCCTTTTAAAATGCTTCAGTTACATTTTACAAAGCTTTAAATAATCTGTAAGAACAGCAAGTCCGATAGGAAATTATTTAAAAGGAAACTTTTATAGGTTTAAGGTCAATTTTGTATACATTTCTTTTTTAAAACCACTTGTGTCCTTGGGTCTTTTTTCTCTATATGATGTCTCGGTCCCATACCTTATTTCTTTTAGGTTTTGTAGTCTGCCCTAACATAGCATGCATCATTTTTCTTGGGACAGATAGGGCTTTAGTTTGATAGCAGATTTGGATAAATATAGTTTTCTAGATTTTAGGGATGTTCAGATACCAGTTCAGATACCAGTGCCGATACTTGGCATTTTCATGAGAACTACCAGGGTTGCAGCGGTTGCAACTGGGACCTGGCTCTGGCGCTCCACCACTGTCCTGAAATCATTGGTCTGTATTGTTTTAGAAAAACTGTCACATGACAAATAAACAAAAATGTATCAGTACTTGTATCTGTAAGTACTTGGGCAAGTATCAGTACTTGTACTTGCAAAAATGGTAGCGGTGCATTCCTTGTATATTTTTATAAAAACAAAATCATACATTAAAATAGAGATGTACAAATTCCAGGAGCTCCGTGTGCTCCTTACAAATGACAGCGGCCTCCTAACTTTTGAATTTTTCTGTAGTCTAGCCTTGGAGCTCGAAAGGTATCTGTAATTAAGGGATATCAGATAAATGTGCTTTTTATGTAACATAACAAAATGGTAAAGCTCAAAACTCAAGGCTTCATTTCCCTTTTGATGCTACACTGTGACGCACACAGGAAAAAAATAATCGTTTTGCAGTAATTGTTAGCATAACATTCGAATCAAGGTTTGAAAAATATTAAAACCTCAATCTGGATAACCTAATATTTAAAAAATGGTCCATTGTATTCAAGTCTGTTTCAAAATAAAGCTTTTGCCTTAAAGAATATTTAAACCCTTGCGTGTTTTTTTGCATATATTTACTGCCAGCAAGCAGTAGATATATGCAAAAACATTAAAAAAAAAAGTTACCAAATAGATTAAAACTTACCTGTGTCTCTGCCGCTTGCTCCCGTCCGAAGATCTGAAGATTCTCAAGCGTCCGCAAAGGATCTTGGGGCGGGCACATGCGCAGTTCAGATCTTCGGCAGGGAGATGAGGAGAGACACAGGGTAAGTCAATGCAGCGGCGTCCACCTGCACAGACTCCGTGGGACAGGAAGTGCCAGGAAGAGCCAGGAGTCGGCGTTGGATCAGAGACCGGCACCAGCGATGGAGGAACTCCTGAAAACTACAAGAAAGAAGAAGATGATCGGATCAAGAGGCGAGAATTTTGTACATATTTTGGTTTTGTTTATTTTGGCAATTCATAATATGTCTTCAAATGTTTTTATATAGTTAGGTAAACATTGAATATTACATATTATTTTGTGCATATTAATATTATGTGATCTTCTATCCAGACAGCGGGTGTGTAATTCTAGACTCCTTTCCCCATCAGTCTTTTTAGCTTAATACATAGGGGTGTATTTATTAACAATTTGCAGAGCCTCTGTGAATGTTCATTCTGTGTGAACAGAGGCAAAAATTAACGTTCTATGTATTTTTTCTAAAAAGAGAACTCCAGGCAAGGGCTCATTTTGGTCTAGGGTCTAAAATAAAATAGATATACTCACCTGATCCTAAATCCCATCTGGCTGTTATAACGGCCCTTATAGCTTCTTCTCCCCCCGTCACCACCAGTCTAGGGACCCTTGACATCATCATGTTTAATACCAGGCCATTTACTTGGATTGGAGGTGAGGACACCAAGGAACATTCCTGAGCCAGAGTGGAGGGGTAAAGAGGTGAGCGGTCACTACCACCGGACCGAGGATCAGGTGAGTGTATCTTCTTTATTCTGGCCCCATGACCAAAAGGAGTACTTAAAGGAGAACTATGACATGAGTGATTTCCACTCACGTCATAGTTCTAGCCGACCTGTGACAATGAGACTATCACAGGTCGGCTCAGTAGATCGGGAGGTGAGGGAAAACATACCGGGTTCCCTCACCTCTCGATCCTGTCACGGCTCTCTGCCGTGACAGGGGGAGGGGCTGGATTCCCCTCTCCCCGCTCCGATCTGCCAGCGCTGACTGGCGGAACGGACGGGGGAGGGGGCGGGTACAGCTGGCTCTGCCTCTAGATAGGCAGAGCCAGCTGTCACTCACGCAGCTGGGCGGATCCCGTCATCTAAGTCGGGATCCGCTCCAGGTGCGGCGTCTCAGTATGCCGCGAGCTTCGCGGTATACTGAGCTTAGGGTGACGGGAGGACGCTAGTTTGTGTCCTCCCGTTACCCCAAGGAGAACTATGGGGAAAAACACTGACCCCATAGTTCTCCTTTAACCCTTGCAGTGGTAGCCCAAGTTTTCAAAATGCCTGGAGATCTTCTTTAACCACTTGCTGACTGGGTTGTTTACACCCCCTTCCTGTCCAGGCCATTTTTCAGTATTCAGTATTCAGAATACTGAAATGAATAATAATATACTGAAATGAATTTTATACCATTTTTTGGGGGGGCAGATAGAGCTTTCTTTTTGGGTATTTAATCACCACTGTGGTTTTTATTTTTTACTATATAAGAAAAAAAGTAAGTTTTTCCCTTT